GAGGAAGGGCTTTACAACTTCTAAATAAATGATTATTCGCGTTAAACCTGCACCAATGAATGGCGAAACGATAGGAGGTAAAGAACGTAGCCACAAGGAGTCCACGACTCACCAAGTAGTTGTTCAGGAAGTTTATCAGCTTCATCAAAGATGATCATTGCTCTGTTACATTTCTTCACCGCATCTAGTATTCGTGCTCGTAATTGTACCTCAAGAATTTGATGCAACAACACTCATTAAGGAAGAAACTTCAGCAAAAATCGTAAAATGCTCAAAAAGTGACGTGGCGGAGGTGGACACATAGCAAAAGTGAGAATCCTAACCACAAAATCGCTCAGTTCATCCAAAAGCCGGCCAGAAAATTGCCAGGATGACGCGTAAGCTCTGATGAGTAAGGTAAAAAGCTTACCTTGTACTCTGCAATCTTGTCTTTATCATAAAAATCGGAACTGGCGACAATTTGGTGCACAAAATTGCTCCTCAGACCTTTTCTGAAATCACCTAATCAAAATAATGGATAGAAAAACTACGTTCTACAATAAATAGAAAATGATATATAGATCAAATAATTCTTCGAAAACATGAATATGCTTCCATTTAGTACACGATTTTCTTTCGATCTTACTTGAAAGTGCTATTGGCTATTATTTCAGCAACGTAGTTCTTTCCGGATCCAGTGAAACCATGGAACGACATTGCCAATGGCTTCTTGGGATTCTCGTTAGTCCAATGAGCGCGTATGGCATTCTCCACCGTGTCACTCACTAAATGTTGTCCATGCACTAACTCTCGTAAGTCACGATGCAGCTCTGAAATGAATGGCCTTATTATATAGGACACCTGACGTAACAATCAGAAACCACTCAAGAGTTGTAAAAAGTAAATTTCAGGAAGGCGTCAATCGTCTACTGCGAGTAGATTATGACAAATTAACAGGGCACGAGCTCATCGAGATACGTCGCGGAAGATTCTGGCGCTTTGAATTCCAGCTACACAGACTTGGATTTCAAGCTTGAGAATCTACATAATTAACGAATTTCGCTGTATTCGAGCACGACAACAATACCTCTGTGGAACACGTAATGAAGGTTTTCAGGTTATTTTTTGCGAGCATGGAAAGTGAGGGATTGAGTGTAGACTGGTCGCCCTGTTCGAGATGTCATGCACATTCCACGTCCACTCAGAATAGTTCTGGCACTTTGAATATTTGCTCCTTACGATGACTTGGGACAGGCAACCGATGTGAATGAGAGTTTTTATCCTCAAGGGCAAGTCCGGTACCAGTCGCTCGACTCCGAAGGGAGTCGATGTTCTACACAGGAGCCGTTAAGAGACCTATAATACCTGATGAATAGCGAAAAATGTCGTGCCGTTTGCCGCTAAACTACCGCCAAATCTCTACCCCCAAACGGACCATAAAGGTGAGAAGATGAGACTTTCCTCACCGACCCCCCTAATCCCTAAAATCTGAACAAGGACAACCATAGACACATCGAATACGGGATGTACGCTCGCTTCCCTTTATAGTTCTTGATGAAGTGCCCACAAACGCGGTCTTAGGACAACTAATCCGTTTTTTTCTCTGCGTCTCGCTCTCGAGGCCGGCACCAGACGGGAGAGCACGCTGCGGTCAGGCACGCAGAGTGACTCACCAACTTGAAGAACGGTCAGCCTGCTTTCAACGTGAGCAGGGTGATATTGAGAAAATTGGTGAAGGCTAAGCTATTCAATAGAAACGAAGATAGCGTTAGATATCAGCACACTTCTACACCAAAGACAGTGTAATACTTGACCAAAATGAAGTGTATCACGGTTATTCGATCACTTCACGTGGATAATTATGTGAACAACAAGTGAGAAAAAAAAACTCAAAATTCATGGGAACTCGAAAAGTAATTTTATAGTTTTTTTTTCGCTGAGCTTCTAGGCAGTCCAAGAAGATGCTAAAGAAATGTTTGACGAGTTCACGATGAGCTCGTGTCGATAGAAAACACTTCAATGCTTTCCACGAGAAATTCGGGTGGACACGTTTTTGTTTATGTAAAAGATCCCCACTTACGTGAAGACATGGAAATAAAAATTGGGAGCCTTTCTTTGTGCCCAGAAGTCACTAGTAATTCACTATAGTACTCTACGTTCCCATTGGTGTGCCACCAGTAATTTCGAAAAAGAAACCAGCGATTACCGCTCAGATCGATCCGAGTAAGAGAGAGAGAGAGAGAGAGAGAGAGAGAGAGAGAGAGAGAGAGAGAGAGAGAGAGAGAGAGAGAGAGAGAGAGAGAGAGAGAGAGAGAGAGAGAGAGAGAGAGAGAGAGAGAGAGAGAGAGAGAGAGAGAGAGAGAGAGAGAGAGAGAGAGAGAGAGAGAGAGAGAGAGAGAGAGAGAGAGAGAGAGAGAGAGAGAGAGAGAGAGAGAGAGAGAGAGAGAGAGAGAGAGAGAGAGAGAGAGAGAGAGAGAGAGAGAGAGAGAGAGAGAGAGAGAGAGAGAGAGAGAGAGAGAGAGAGAGAGAGAGAGAGAGAGAGAGAGAGAGAGAGAGAGAGAGAGAGAGAGAGAGAGAGAGAGAGAGAGAGAGAGAGAGAGAGAGAGAGAGAGAGAGAGAGACCAGGGAGATTTGCACTTTTCGCCCGCATAGAAGTGGGGGGGGGATTTGGATTTTAGAAAGAGTGTAAACAAAGCCACAAACGCAGTCTAACCTCCTGACTAGAGCGCGACTAAGGCGAATATAGCGAACTAGCTTCAAATATAAGTAATAGAGCAGTAAGCGTCGACCACCAGCTGGCCGAATGATGCTTCATCACACAAGCAAACGACATCACCGTTGGACCGCTTTCTTCACGTGAACGCTCAACTTACTCCTGTATAGGAAAGATTAGGAGGCTCGTGGCAACAGAGTGTATACTCGACGCCCCCGTCCATAATGTAGGCAAATCATCAGGAAATATAAAACTTGCTAAAAAAACATATATGAAAAAATCAGAACTTACTATCAAACCGTGGATTCAAGTAAGGATGGTCGCAACATTCATACAGCCGACATTTGATTTTGTGCTGAAAGGTCCATAAGGCACCAGTTCCAAACGTCACTGCTGCACCTTCAAAGATGAACACAAAAATATAGAGTTGCTCTAGATGAGAGATATAGAAGTGCACCTGTGAAGAGTGAGATTGGCTCGGATAGAACACGTCCCGTGAGATAGCTGACGATAATGAAAAGAAGCAGTGATATCCGCATGAGAGTTCTATCGAAAAGCAAGAAATTTTTTTCACATTTTCAGTACGAATGTGGACTTGAAGCAGGTTAGCAGATATTAAGTGTTTGGTAACACCAAGAAAACGTATACCCTTGAGGGTACAAACAACGCTTTATACACAGGTGAAATACAAGCGAATACAAACGGAATGAATGTAAAGAGGTCGGAAATAGCACATTGTGAAAAAGAACTGTTTTGAACACTGCTTGCCTTAATTATCCTTAGCATAGCATTAGAATTAAATACATAAGCAGAGGGAAATTGTGAACTAAAAAAAATGCAACATAAGGCAAGTTTAGTCGTCAGCAGAAGATGCTTGAGGGCAATTACGTATAACTGAGACAATGCTCTCGAAGTACTTGACCGCGTTCCAGCTTCTCGATCCCATTCCCAGAGCACGAATGATCCTTGCTTGCTCTCGATATCAAACGTGTCATTTGACCGTAGAATTTAATACTGTGTATGTATGTCATGACCACTAAACACTGCAACAGCAAAACAAATAAAATTATTCTGAAGGCATGCTAGTTGTTACACGGGCTTAATGATAGGAATAAATGCCGGAAACTTAACACCTAACTGAGCGTTTCCCTACCGCACCAAAGTGTCGCGTATGAAATATTCATGCGCATCAGAACAACATAAAGAATAAAAGTATAAAGCTTGAGCCGTTACTTAAACGTTTTTTGGAATACGGAACCCATTATACTTCCATTCAGAATCATAGTAGCGCACTGAATAGGATATGGCAATATACAATGAAAGGGCGGGCCATCTATATACAGGTTAATATTTTCCTCCAATACGAATCCGGCACCAGTTTATCTGGGGGTAGAAAGCTTGGTGGGCCTTTGCAGAAGCCTTTCTGACTCCCAAACCACGAACGTGCTAAAAGGACCACTTGCTAGACCAGCTGAGTACAGAGATTAGGGTACGTATAGATGGTTGTAGGCCCAAAAAGAGAGCTAACTTTTATTAGAAGATAAGAAGATAGTGACAGTTTGTAAGGAGCTGATGACTGTATCCAAATAGTGCAGTTAGTGAATGGGCAACTACGAATCTGCGCGAAGGTCACCAATATACCACATTGCTGTGATTCTAAACTAGCAATGCTTCAAAAAAATACTGCTGAAATCTTAGGCAAGATCTCACTCCTAATATTACAAACTTGCTATAACGTTTTAGTAACGAAAATATGGCAAGTCCTCACCTCGCTTGTTTAGGACGTATAGCTCATAGCCAGATGGCACGTCGAGGTTCACTCCTTCCAGTCCATGACCACGAAAAGCGGCCGTTTTTCTACCGTCACTGCATTCATCAGTCACGAAATACCTGCAAAAAAAAAAACGATAGAACCATTTGTTCGCTTTGCTAAAAAGAGAACTGTTCGATTGGAACCTACCCAGAAACAGGAGCTGGCCCATCATAGTGCAGTTTGCATGGTATTGAGTGAATAGGCTTATTTGCTGGTCGACTACCAGCTCCTTTCGAGATAGTTACACACTGCTGTCGCCATGCCTGTGACCAAGGGAAGTTACTGAAACGTTAATGAACTACAGCAGCGTGCATGAAACAGTTCTGGAGACTTTTAAGCATGCTTAAAAGGCCGAAAGTCAGCTTACAACAGCTATGACAGAAGGACAGAAAAAGTGATCTTATTGAGTTTTCTACCTTCCAATGAAATAAATACTGCGACCGATAGCGGTAAGACATGGACAGAGTGAATGGAGAAACTTGTTTATCTGTCATTTTACACATATCAATCATGGGAAAAAAAGTCAACAGGAAACAATAATGAATAACAACACAAACAAGCGCAGGTCCGCTAGGAGGGATATTTTGTAAAGTTCCGGCACCTTGTATGGTCCCGTGGATTCCTGTGACAATGATGGAAATTTTTTATTTGCGCGCGATTCCCCCAGTTTTTTAGGTGTTGGACGACAGTCAATGCGGAATGGTGGCAGGAAACGATTGCAAGCCGAAGAAGAGAACATTGGCCGATTCCTAAAGAAAACTTCCAAATGCACCAAGATTGACATATATTTGTCTGAATAGGATTCCATTCCATTTGAGTGGACATCAAAAAAGCATTGTATAAAAGATTTTCGGTGCTAAGGTGTTCAAGGGAGGGGGGGGGGATTAACGTCACATTCTGTTCTCTTCGCTCCTTCTCGCCGAGAAGGTGTTTTGAAACGCGTATAACAACGAATTCCCAGCATCTTTCAAACGAGGAAACTGATCAATTTCGAATAGGAAGGTGGAGCGCATATACATATACATATATAGAGGCTTGATGAAAGCATGGTTATTGCTGCTAACCTTCTGCCTATCTAGTATGATAGGGCGCTATTGAAGTAGCGGGGGACTCCAGGATCCTGTGGACCATCAAAGGCATTCAAAAATCACACTTTGCGCACAGAAATGGGTTCACCATTCCAAAGCTCTTCCCCGCCAGGTACAGGCAAGAAATCATAGCCACTGGTTTACAGTTGCTCCTTCGCACTACTCAATGTGCCTCGCCTTATTGAAATATCACCCTATGTCGATGCTAATTTCATGTACTACACCAGGAAATTCGAAATTACCGTGGGATAACCCTCACAGGAGCATACTATACTAAAGGATATCATCCCGGCGAAAAAAAGCAAAAGAGTAGCCCGCAGTGTGATTTCCTGCTCCTCCACACCTTGCCTTTTACGGATCTCATGTTTCGAGCCCTACGGTAGCTGTATTGCAGTATCTCTCTATATTAGAATGACTAAAAAAATGAATTTGGTCATAAATTGCGTAGCTTTGGAAGAGCTCTCATGTCTTTACGAAGGTGCCTGGTAAGCTCACAGAAGCTCGCCTAAACTACCTCATCTCACCCCTACTTAAGGCAGACCTACGCTCGAGTGGAACAACAACACTGAAATTCGTAATATGTCAGTAGCGCTATAACAATAGAACAACCTTTAACAACTATACATCGATCGCCTCATTTGCTGACGAGCTTTCCTCTGTATACTTCACTCCATTCGCTTTGAGCCGCTGCCGCAGGTTTTGGATTCCTTTCCGCGATACTTTCTTCTTTATGACTTTGAAGGGGAGATCAGTGGTCGATTCTAGTAGAAGGTCGCTACCTGAATTCCAATAGAAGTACTGGAAGCAATTCATGAACAGAACAATAAACTACTGGAATTGAGCATATTAATAACGACATACCTCCATTTTGAAGGTCTGCCGATTTGTCGAACTCTGCTCTCCCTATCGTAACGGTGCCGCAAATTGGACTGTCTGTAACATGAATCCAAGCAATGGAAAGATTCCAACGTAGGGTGCAAGAACTAGGTAAGAACTGATGGTTTTCTGCGCGTTCCTTCCGGGGAAGAGTTTTAACGCATCACGATTATTCAGTCATTCGGCTTTTCTAATGCAGTACATATGCTGAAAACGTCGACATGGAATTAGTACAAAGCTTTCAATAATTCAACACTGCGGTTTTTAAGCTAAGAGGATGCTAATCCAGAATCTCTCCATCACAGCAAATAACCGTTGTTACCCCTCAACCGGATGCAACTAACAAGGTAGGAGAAGACACGAGGTATCAACTTTCTTTTCAATGCTGGAGTGAACCACCTCAGACGGTACACTATTAGGCTGCGTTCATACTCTGGACTCGGCGCGTCTAAGAAAATTACCGTCTCTGAGCGAATCGGCGGTTTAAACGAAACGGAAAGTATAGATGTTAGACCTGGCGTTTGGGAGAATGACGTTCTGAGCGAAAAGGACAGCAAGGGTATGCATCGGGGTCAGGGAGGCTCGTATTGCCGACCCCCACAAAACGTTAGTGACCGGCGCCGATCAAAAGTATGCGGTCGTTTTTGCTCCTAACGCGAATTCTTCCACAATGCGAGAAGCAAAACATGAACGACTTTAAGTAGACAAGATTCATAGCCAATACAGTTCCAATGTGGACCCAAGATGAAGCGCTTCGCTCTCCAACTGCTTTTGAATAATTTAAAGTTGTGCTGATAAGGTGAACGATTCCACATGAAAATGATAGGACCAACTCCTTTCATGTGGAAAGAGTACAGCGAAAGTTGTATGAAGAATGTATGAAGGAGACAAAGATAAATTAACTACCACCACTACTTACCTATACCTTTGAACCTTGATTTTTCTGAAGAGTGAATAACTTCGGCTGGTATGTGGAACATTTGAACTGGAGGTTTAGAACCACGTATTGTGAAAGCCTTATCATCTGCAAACAACTAGTTTATCAGCTACAAGAAAAAAAGCAGAACACTACAGCTCTCACTTATAACAATCTTCTTTTCCCGAGAAGAACATGAATCGACGGGAATGTTAGCGCTGCTAAGTTCTTCTGTAGAAAGCTGAAACAGTATGCTAGGAAATATTATTCCATTGATTCAAAGTGTGAAGAATGATTTCTGCTGTTTCACTTAACTTTTCATGTTTTGTGATTACATAAAGTGCATTGAAATTGTATTGCAAGGACCAGATGGGTTATGAGTGATGTGCTGACTGCATTTCATCGTTTAGACAAGGAACGCGTCTACTACAAGGTGAATACTGTACTTCTACCCTTCTCAGGATACGTTAGCCGCGAAGCCTCACTACTCCTTTCCATTTTCCTTCTTTCCTTCTCCCTTCAACTGCTAAACCAGTAGATGCGATGAGAAAACACCTCTGGACCCTCCCAGCGAGAGCATGCCCAGTTCACAGAAACCCTGTAACCAGAGAACAGTGAAAAGGAAAGTATAGTGCCCAAATACCCCCTCCCATGCTACCTACCATTTCACAGACCTTGCTGACTTTCCTTACCTCCTACCACTTTTTTGTGAACGGAGAAACTTCCACTTTCTACTTTCTTCGAAAACTGTATAATTTTAGCGCACCAACCAGCAACACACCTTAGTTCGCTGCGGACGGTTGGGCGTGTCAGACAGTATGAGTGTGTCACCCCGTCGAAGCCGTTCTCTGCCTTCTTGTTGAAGCGCGCATGCGACAAAAAGTGGTAGAAAACGAGTAATACGAACGATATGATACAGTCATATCATTTGCTCGCTTTAACAACTGGTGGAGAACGGGTTCTGGCACCGCGCCAAACTCATCCGCCTGACACGCCCACAGCGAACTACACTATGGTTGTCCCGCGCATGGAAAATAAATCTTGGGGCCAGATACGACACCTCCTGCTCTCGACAGGAAAATCAACTATCAACTAAATTTTATAAGTTCAGGTGACT